TCATCCCCATTTCCAGTTTGCCTCCAGCAGCAGGCTTCTTCCACCAGCACTCAGCAGCAGCTGGGACCAGCCCTAGCAGTTTTGGCATCGCTGGCATCACTGTAAGAAAAAGTGCATCAATCATCTGAAATTTCTAAAGAAGCATGAGGTAAGCTTTCTAGAAAGCAACAACAATGCTGCAATAATCCTCCTGTCAGCCCTAGGGCCATCATCACAACTCAGACGACCAAACCGCTCTACTGCTTCACAAGGGAGGAGTGCTGGGCTCCACCCAGCTTTAGCCTCTAGTTATTGTCACCCTGTTGATCAAGATGCCGCTTTACAGCTCAGAAAGTGTATTGATTTTTCCTCCCCTTCCTTTAATTCACAGCAATGAGGACAGGTAATTTCAAGAGAATGACTGACTGAAGCCACTGACAACAGCTTGTTCTGCTGGACTGTGTCATAGTGTTACCACTACAGCTAATTATGCCTTCACCCTTCCTGTCCATACTCACCACTGCTCCCATAGGATGCATTTTCAGGTCTAACCATTCAACACTTACAGCTCTGAAAAAAATATCAGGGTATCCAAGCCCATCCCACGGCATCTAGCAATAACATGGCACCCATCTACCACAGTGTAAACAGGAATGGACTGTTCAAGAAATTAGGAAAGGAACCGGAGAAAACAGATATCTAAAAGCTGCAAGTAGCACAAGAAATATACTCCAGCACAAACAAGAAGCAAAAAGCATAAAGTATTATGAAATTAAGTGAATGAATTGAGTAACACAAGACCCATCTCTAACTGCCAACAGGCAATGCAGAATCCCAAGAGTGTAATATCTAATATGAGTTGCATCACCCGATGCTCTCTAGAGGAGATCTTAAGCCTGTGTCTTTTTTTCTTCTCTCCCCTCATGCTGTTAAGCCAAAGACTCAAGCACAAGCAGGGGGCAGGAAACACTTCATATACCTGTTCTGCAGACATGAAATTTAAGATGCTTCTAGTAAGGCATTATTATTATTATATTTCACTAATCTGAAAAGCTAAAGTTAACATTTATTCACTTAAAGGCTACAGTAAGTGAACACTTACTTTCAAGCCCTGACAGCCACTGCTCCAGAAGCATATCCAGAAATTACTTTGATATATCAACAATTCATTGTAAACATACAAAAAAACCAGAAGTTCCAGATTTGAGAACAGCAAATAAAGGTTAGATAACTAACTCATCAAAGCCACCCATCAAGGCCATCAATGCTCAGAGCCTACAACGTCCATATAAACTGAGAGCACCACAGGGATGCGTCCTACTTCACAAAAGCCTTGTGCCTACTTGGAAACCCCTCTCAGCTAACAAGTACACCCTTCATCCAAACCCACTAACCGCTCACTTGGAACCCAAGTCAAGAGCATTTAGACATCCCTGTACTTCTTAAAAGTTTTTATTGCCAGACCTCCAAATCCATACATTTTTACAGTCTTAAATCACTAACAAAACACTTGTAAATTTTGACATGGATCTACTGAGCAACCATTCTTTAGTGTCAAATCTCCCATTCCTGAGAAAGATCAGTAACAAAGCCAACTGTCGGCTCATTTAATTGAACCTAAAGCTATGGACCAGGGACACCAAGCTAAGCAGAAGGCATGGACTCTTCTCAACACCACATGATTTCCAGTCAAAGGAGATGGAGTTTCAAGCAAACTCAGCCTCCTGGACCTCGTTTTGATACCATTAGGCATGAAATATTTGTCTGTCAGCAGAGGGTGCACAAAGTAAGAAGGAGCTCCACCACCCCTTGTTACTTCCCAAGCAGAGACCCACAAAGCAGAATTCTTTCTGCCCTATTTCCCACATCAGCATCAAACCAGCACGTGAAGGAGTCAGAAACGGCCTTTAATTCTCACAATATGAAGACAACAAAGCTATTTATCCTTCAGCTCAAACAGCTGCAGCATGATCAAAACAACCTGCTGCTGAAGAGCAGTTGATGTTAAGTTGAATTGAACTTAAAGCTGGAATTCACCAGTAAGCAAAAAAACAAAAAAAAAAAAAAAAAAAAAACAAACAAAAAATAAACCCCCACACTTTTTAAAAAGAGTCTGCAGCCACCTACAGACTAGCTTTGTTGCTTTAAGATACATGATCTCAACCGGTCATAGGTCAGAAGTATTTCTGGACTTTACACTGACATTATACTTTCATACTGAAACATTACTCAATGACAGTGTTGCTGTCTCAGCCCTATCTAGGCAAAGAGTGGCCTGCACAATACGCCATAGCAGGTCATGAAACTTCCCACTTGAGGAAATTTTACTGCTCCAGAGCATGTCAGTAATACATCTGCATACCATCACCACCCCAATCCTCCTGTCTTCCAGACTGCATTTTTGTGCTCAAAACCCTATTTGCTGTCTTAAAGCACTCTGTGGCCTAAGCCCTGGATAGCAAAGGGCCTATTTCGTGCTCCACAGAAAGTGCCTGACAACGGTCATCTTCATCAGTCCCTGAAACGTTGGTCTGCAAGGCAAGGATAAACTGTTGCATTATTGGATACTTACAGCTCTTTGAAAAAGCCTGCTCTTCCTTCATACTCAGGTTTGTCTGAGCCGCACTCAACTGTCTTTTTATTCCATATTTAGTTGAGAGTTTCAGTATTGCACTTCTCTGAAGTTTGGAAGGTGTAGAACTCAGTTATCGTAAATCATTCATTGGTAAATGATGAAGACTACACTAAAAGAGCAGGGGAAATACCACTAGTAGAAAAAGGAGATTGTTCTGGTTTTTAAAGGTTTATTCGTCAGAAATGAGCAACCAGAAAACGAAAAGTATTTTTGATCAACACTGTTCCTGACTTTCGCTTCAGTAACATCTTAATGAATGCTTTCTAAATTAACTGTACTTACATAAAGTTGCAAATGAACATGGGAGAATATTGAAGAAAGGCAAAAGGAAGGAAAAAAAAAAAAAGGAAAAAAATAAAGAAAATTACATCAAGCATTTTAATTTCTTGGATGCCTATAGGAAAATGAATAATAATGCATGTGAGGAAAAGTGATCCAGCAAAGATTTGATTAGTACAAGACATCTGGAAGGCAGTAATGAGTAGACAGAGTTTGAAATATGATAGAGGGGCATAAGATCAGGAAGCCAATTAGGTTACTTTTCAATTCTGCAAAGATGAAGGTAGCATGTACATATCTGTCTTGAGTAGTCCAGCACCATACAGCTAACAATAAACTGCCAGAAAAAAATATATAGAAGAGCAGTAAATGTGATTGAAGGGCTGAATGGAGCCCTCTGAAGTGAGATTTCTACCCTGATCATCATCAGTGTTAAAATATCTTCCTCAATAACAGGTTTAATGCTGTTGGTAGTTCTCTGTTTCTGTTTTTATTGGCAGGTTAGACCAAATTCTGAAGCCTTCTAGTAGTACCACAGCAATACCTATGGGGGCCTATAAAAAGGGAGAGGGAAGGTGGTATAAACAAGCAGGCTGTTCATTCACCTGATATGGCATCAGTTTCAGTGAGAACGTGCCAAACCTAAATAAATTAAGTTCTGTAATTTTACTCGTCAGTCTGAAGAGTAAAATAATCGTTAAAAATTGCTGACATTCCAAGAGCTGCCCAGAGGACCTAACACCATCAGGCAGCACAGGGAATACCAATTGTGTGTGCTTCTTTTTCCTGCCGTAAACTGTTAACAGCATTTTTTTCTGCTGTCTTGTAGTTGAGCTTTCAAGCTCAGAGAAAACAAGACCAGGAAGGTTCCCAAACTTGGAGGATTCATATGTCAGTGGTGGCAGAATCCAGGTGCTGCTTCTGCACGGCACACACCACAGTTTGAGAATCCCTAGGTTAGTAGAAAATCTATCTGATGCTGCATCCTACAGCTCTAGAGACTGTGCAACCAGCAGAGAAACTGCAGAGCAGATGTAGTAGACAAGATGAAAATTTCGCCCACCAAGTGTTAACAGCAAGTAGACTTTATTTTTAATCTTCTTATGACAACTGTTATTCTGCAAAAGCCAAATTTAAGAAAATGATGCTCAAATGAAGATTTCAGCATCGCAATCCCAAACAGATCAACTCCAAGGATTTGAGATTTTGGTAGGTCTGCCGAGCTCTAAAAATACACTATTTATTCAGAGAGGGCCATAAATGATTAAGGAGAGAAGTTTCCGAGGAAAAATGTGTTGAAGTGACATCCGTCATGGGACCCACCCTCATATCTACATAGCACACAGAGGTATCACTACACAGCCAATCTCTTTGCTACAGGAAAACATCACCATACAGCTACCGTCCTGCAGACTACCTTGGTAAGACAGACAGACTTTTATGCTACTGCAAACCCTCGCTGGAGCCAAAGACCATTCCAAATCTCACCTGCAAGAGACAAGCTGTAGCATATGGCAGCAGCCGTGGAAGTGCCACAGACAGACATGCCCTACCCTGGGGCTGCAGATGGTGTGGGATGAGCAGCACCATCTCCTCCTTACAGAGAGAGGCCACAGGGCCCATCCTGGCTTCACACACCCCTGGAACCCACAGCTAAACAAAAGGGCCTTGTCTGCAGGGGAAGAGCAGCATGCCTTCCAGCAGCAGTACCAGCTGTAGTGCGTGTATGCAAACAGCTAAGCACATTACTGACTGGCATCACCAATCCTGAAGCAACTGGTTTGGGGCTTTTTTGGAACGTAGTCAAAAACCATATCAAAGGAGCTTTCCATCAGTCCTTGATAGTAACTTCGGGGCACTTCCAGAAGAGTTCAAATACATATTTAGCCCCAAAGCTTCCTATAGGGACACTTCTCATTTGTGTACACACGCACGCTGTGGTATGCACACACAGGGCAGGAGAAGGCAGGACAGATGGCTGAACCTGTGCTTATTTACCAAGGTCCGAACACCACGTTAAGATGATAAGTGCTGGGCCAAGTCACGTGCTGAACATTAATTGCACTTCTGCCGCTGCCTGCCCACGCCGCTGGGGTTGGGACCGGCACAGTGCGGCCAAGAGGAACCGTGGGCACACAGATGCTCCACTGCTCCTGTCCGCAGCACACAGGGAGCATCCTCGCTCCCAGTAGAAGGGAAACGTGCCCGGGAGAAACAGAAAGGAAAACATCTGGAAGCAGAAGCCTGCAGGCAATGTCGTCATGGCTTGGAAAATCTATCAGCGCGCACATATCTCCCACGTGTGCACCTAGGTGCGCATTCCCCGTAGGTATACACGCTCCTCACGCAACTCGGCGCAGCACAACATCGACTTTCCGCACGGAGTTCCTCGGGGCGCTCCGGCCCTCTGCGGCGGCCGCGCTCACGGCCGCGGGTGAAGGGGGTGGGGGGAGGGGGGGGAACACGGGACACGGGGCCGCCGCCGGGAGGAAACCGCGGCTCCCCGAGGCCGCCGCTTCCCGGCAGCACGCGGAGCCCTGTGCGGCCGCGGGACGGGAGGCGCCGCCGCGCCGCAGCCGCTCCCACGGGAAACACGAGGGGAAAATGGCGGGGGGGGGCACCCACGAGGGAGCAGAGACCGGGGAGCGTCGGCCGCCGCCCGCCCAGGTATCGCGGGCCGAGGGCGGCGGAGCCGAGCTCTCCGCAGGGATCGTGGCTCGGGGTTGCCTTACCTCGCGGAGAAGCCGGGCCGGGAAGGGGCCGTTCGCAGCCGGGCGGCGGCGCCTCCACGCAGCTGCTTGTCACCTCTCCCGCCGCGGCGGCGGCTGCGGGCGGAGGGGCGGGTCGGCACGGCCCGCTCCGCCCCGGCCCGCCCCGCTCCGCACCGCCCTCAGTCCGAGCGCTTCCTCCTGCGGGCAGCGCGGGGCGGGTGCGCCGCCTGCGTTGGAGCTGAGGCGGGTAGGGCCCTCTGTGTCCCCGCGTCCCAGCCCCTGCTCCAGCAGCACCGCCGAGAGCGGGGTGCCCAGGCCCACGGCCAGGCGGCTTCTGGAGAGCTGCAGGGAGGAGACCCCACAGCCTCTGCCAGCCTGTGCCAGTGCTGCCAGTGCTCTGGCACCCGCACAGCGCAGCACTGCTCCTGGTGTTCTGAGGGAGCCTCCTGGGGTAATACGGTTTGTGCCCACGGCCTCCTGTCCTGGCACTGGGCACCGCTTGAAAGAATTCCATGATTATTACCCTCTCTTAGTTGGTAGGAGAGAATGGTGTTGAAGAGGAGAAGGGCAACAGCGAAAAAAAGCTCATCTCTTGCTCAGCCCTGCCCTGTTACTACCCTGTAGTAGCACCGTCTCTGCCTGTCCCTCACCTGTGTTTGTTTGCTCAGTTCTGCCCCTGGTGAATGGCAGTTCTGGGGCAGAAAGTAAGCATGATTGTGAAACGTTTTCCTGGCATAGTTTGTTTTTTAATCGTCATTATATGAGATGAGGGAGAACTGGACGTTATTAAATATGCAAAAAGCCTGGGCAGGATGTTCCATCAATAAGATTTTAGTGCAAGGCTGATACCATAAAAGGCGGAATCTCAAGAGGCCTTCTATTAGGCATCTGCTCAGAGGGAAGCAGGATTAAATATATTTCAGGTCAAGCCCAACATATTTTTCTGCCATGCTTTTAAAAACCTCAACTGAAGAACACATTGTCTCCAGACCACTTGTTGTGTCCATTAACTGTTTCTGCCTAAGCTTCTTTTTCTGAAAATTAACCCAATTAAATTTTGCCTTCCTCTTCTGGTCGTGGAACACAATGGGTATTACCCTGCTTATGGCAATATTCCACATGTACATCAGAAGGTCTCATGAGGTAACATGCTCTTTAGATTTCTCAATTCAAATTGCCATGTTTTCAAAGCATTTATCATTTTTTGTTGGTCTCCCCAAGACTCTTGAATACGATGCCCACAATAGGCATAGTAGACCAGCTGAGCCTCATCAGTAAAGAAAAAAGTAGAACTCTATAAAGCATATGTGACAATGTATCCTGTGACGGGGCCATCTCTGGGGCAAAGGCTGCTTTGTGTTGACTTCCTAAGAGTCATGGCTTCCTAAGAACCCACCAAGCACTTCATACAGTCAAAGAATGTCTTCGTTTGGTAGGGATCTTAGAGGCTGTTCAGTTCCAGCCCTTTGCTGTGGGCAGGGCTGCCACCCACCAGCTCAGGCTGCCCAGGGCTCCATCCAACCTGGCCTTGAACATCTCAAGGAATGGGACATCCAGAGCTTCTCTGGAGCTCTCTGAGTAAAAAATTTCTTCCTAACATCTAACTTGAATCTCCACTCTTTTCATTTAAAACTGCTCCCTTTTGTCCTATCGCTATCTGCCTGTGTGCAAAATTGGTCTCCTCCTGTTAATGAGTTCCCCTCAAGCAGTGGAAGGCTGCAGTAAGTTCTTGCTCTGACCTTGCTAATTTCAGATCATCTCTTCACCAACTTAAAGAGTTGGTAGAGAGAGAGTATCTTTTCATAGCAATAGTTGAGCAATGTACATTCTGAAGTGCCTTATTGATATTAGAACATTGTTCATTAATTTTGCATGTTTCTTAAAAAAAAATCTCTGAATCAGTTTAATGAGGCTGAGTCAATATTATCTTGCTTTGAGAGATTCAGCCTAGAAAAATTATGAGAAAACAAGTCAAAGTTAAATATCATTAACTCTTTAATTTTTGCAGGTTCGTTTTGTCTCGTTTGTCTTCTTGTTTTTATTAACGACCTACCACAAAGACTCAAGGTACCGTACCATTAAAACAAGGCAGGAGGTGCCTGCAGCTGCCCACTCCCACCCAGCCGCCATCCTCCGCCCAGTGGTGCCCTCGTGTGTCTCCGCTCGTGAAGTTCAAACATTGGGATCCTGCTAATTTGCTCTACTTTGAGACAACGCTAGAAATCTGGCTCTACTCTGCACGCCCCTTTCTTCGAAGCCTCACAGCGCTTTGCAATTTCACATAAAGGAGCATGTGTGAAAGTGAAAAAACTTCTGCCCATGCTTTTAGCTGAATTACAGTAAATAACTGTGAAAATCCAACAACCTGTTCTGCATCATGGCAACCTTGTAAGTACAGACCCTAATTCCTTTTCTCTCTCAATCCCAGACCACCAGTTTAACAAAACTGTACAATTTCTCAGTACCTACACGTTCACATGCTGCATCTATGGGAAGTTGGCATGCTTGCATTGAAATTATGCCTGTCTGCATAAGCTGGAATGACGTTGCCATTTCAAAGGCAGTCAAGTCAGTCCAACCGTATCTCTTTTTGTTTTTTGAGGACAAATAAATTCATCTGAGTATGTTTTCCTCTATGTGGGCACTTGTGTGTACATACACACATAGCTGTGTCATTAGGATTTGTAGTCTGTGCTGTATCTTCCTTCCTTCCTTCCTTGCTTCCTTCCTTCCTTCCTTCCTTCCTTTTCTTCCTCTCTTTCTTTCATAGTGAGAACACACATGAAACTTCCCCATGAACTCATAAGTTAACATATTAAACTTCATATTGCTTAGAACTGGAGCATCACATTTCCGTAAATGATTCACTCAAAGTTTGTGAAAAACAATCATTGAAGGAAATGAAGTCTGCATATTTCTTCTTTACAAGTTTTGAGATGCCCTTTATTTTGAGGAACTTGTCATTAAATTTGTTCATGTGACAATTAGACCATGTGCCCCATCTGTTTGGGGTGCTTTTTGGAAATAATACTTCAAATACCTTGGCAATGCACTTATTAGAAAGTTTCACAGACCTTCAGTATTTCAGCTCTTAAACCCATGGAGGACAAAGGAATTACAGAAACCATATGCCTTTTGCTCTTAAAGGAGAAACTAAGGTTGACCAAAGGCCTGGCAGGGGTTGGCTTCTTTAACAAGCAGTGGTGCCACATCTCCAGATGATCCTGATGGAAAATACAAAGGCCTTTGCCCCCAAAACACAATTGGGCTATTGTATATCAGAGAGGAGCCTTCCCCTACTATGGCAGCCAACCAGCTGAAGTCCAGACACACAAGATTTTAATACATTCATTGTCTTAATGAAGAGCTACAAATGTAATGGACATGTGGAGGGCAATACAGTATGAGCATTCTGCAGCAGGCCTGCAAAGGGACATCTCCACACTGCTGAACAAGACAGGCATCAGCTTCTTCTTTGACCCTGTGGACAAGGGCAGCAGTGAGCACTGCATACACATGGCTAAAGCATCTTCCTTATTCAGCCCAATGAGGCTGGCCACCTTGGTACTGCCTTACAGAGCTGTTCCCTGATCTTCAGGGATGCTGCTACCTGTTTATGTGCTCGGTGTTGTCAGGAGTGTTAGTTGCTGTGTGTTAAGTAATTGTTAAACAGTAGGGACTGATACCTATAGGGCCTCCAGACCATTGCTGCATGCCATTTACTTGCATACATGTAACCTCTCAGACTCCCCAGCCAAAAGAAACAGGCAGCAGCATGACCACCCCTTCTGAAATGAGGCTGGTACTTTTGCCAAGAATTCTGATGAGGTTTTCACACATCCACTAAGTGCAAGTCCTCTGCTGTCCCCAGTAACCACTATGCTTGCTGATAGCAGCATGCTTGTTTTTATCCATCTTCCAGACATCTTAAAGTGTTTTGCTTTCAACACCTGGGCTGAAAAGTGAGCTGTGACTAAGGTCTCTCATTTGCTTGTTGCTGTACCAAGTGGTCATTGTAGTTCTCTTTGGTCTCTCATATAAGCTGAATGCACTGCATTTTTCAAAACTCACGCTGCAAAACTCCTCTCTGACCCAGAGTATCTTATCCCACACATATACTGACAGACCCCATCCGTAATACATTGCATTTGTCCCCTTTAATTTGCCTTTTTGTTAGATCAGAACTCTCAATCCGATGATTCAGCCCCACTGGCGAAAGTAATACACACTCTTCAATATTTACAATCGTCTGCAAGCTTTATCATAATATTTTATGTCGTCTACATCACTGATAATAGTAGTGGACAAAAAAATCAATCTCTGGGTAAAAAAACTCCTCACAATAATAGTCTTTGTTTATGTCTTTTCATTAGCAGTGACATCTGGAGATCCACCAGTGAGTCAGTTTTTAATCCATGCAGTGCTAATTGCATATAATAGAAGTTCTTTTAAATCAAAGTGTTATTGTGGGATTGACTAAAACACTTTGAAGAAATCAATGGCTGTTATGTGAACACCGTTGTCTTCACACTCAGAATTATATAAATTTTCAAAGCATGCTGAAGGGCATAGACAGCCCCGTGGCAAAAGAAGTTCGGTAAGGCCTATCTTCTGAGATGCTGCAGTGACTGGTTTTAATGATATTTTAACCTCCAATTTTTACTGACAAGAGCCCACATTAGCTATCTCTTTGCGATGGTTATGAATGTCATCTGGTAATTATTCTGTATGTCCTTTCAAGCTTTCACACACTGAGAAAATTTTGACATTACTCCTCCAGAATTTCCCCAGATCTAAACAATGCATTGTTAACAGCTGAAGGCAGGCGTTCATCTAACCATGCTGAAGGATGAAATTGAGTTTGAACTGATACTCCCTGCTTTCTCTCTTGCTGGTGATATTTGTTCTTTTTGCCACCTTCTCATGGCGGAACATAACTCCAAACAGAAATCTATGAAACATTTTTTTTTTTTTGCTGTTTTCATACTGTTTACTCACTGCACTTCATGAATATTTAATAGAAAGCACTTCTTTTCTCCCCTCCTAATATTTACTAAAGAGTCCTTTTACTGTGTTTAATTCAGTTGCCCACTCATACGTGAGCAAGTAGCTTCTGCCTCCTCTCTGCCTTGTTACTTTTAATCCCTGTCATTAGTTTCTTTTTTCCCACCTGAGTCTTTACAAGTTGATTTTATATTTTCTCATTGCATTTTTTAACCAGGATGACTTTGTGCCCAGCAAAAGCTTCACATGTTAATGAAATTGTGACTTTCTGTATATCCAACTGGATGTCTTTGAACAACTGGCAGCTTCTGTTAACACTTCCTTCCTCCCAGTCATGTTCTCTGTCCATTATGCTGACAATTACTGTAAGCTTTGGGTAATTAGCTTCTTTCTAGTTTCATAGATGAATATTGGTGGCAACATTACGTGTTTACGCAAATGGGGTGTAATCAGATTCTAATCAGAAATACATAAACAACAGAGCAGTGTTTGGAGTGACAATTAACTATTCTTTGTCTGTCAAGAGAAGGTCTGATGATGAGTCATTCCCTTAGGGAGCAGAGCATGCTGGATTGAGAAACTCTTGAAAATATAATCCTTCTCATTCAAGCTTTATACTTTTTTTTTTCTCCCCCCATACATGCTGTCCAGGAAATGTTTCCTAGGTAGAATTCACTAATGTTATGCATTTTCTCTTTGGTGTTTTATATATAATCCATAAGATTCAGCGTGAAACAACTTGTCATAAAGTAAGATCCAGATGTTTTGAGAATTTATTTGTAGAAGAACCTGTTTCACACATTTTATCCCACAGCTTTTTGATTCTAGTGAAGACCACAGCAGTAATCCAATCAGACCTGCATTAAAATAAGACCTACATCGAGGCCATATCCCTTAAAACTCAGAGAACTAAGAGATCAGCTGTTGCACCAGTTATTCCTGCTGCTGTGACAGTGTGAATTTGTGCAGAATTACATGCTGCAGATGCTTACCTACTAGAGAAGTTGTATTTTTAAAATCATATTTATCTGTTTAAATACAAAACTCCATCTCTGTGTATTTCTAGACATGCTTTTTTAAAATATAACTTTTGTACTAAAATTTAATCAAACTGTATTACTCTGTAGGAAGACAGCACACGTGTTTTTAACTATCGTTAGTGCACTACCAGAGGAATTTTCTTAGTTTCATTATTAAGGTTGCCAAAGCTCACACCTCACAGTTTCACCTACACCTATTTAATAATTTACAGGGTGAGAATTACATCACTGAATTCAGTTTCAACAAAGCACTTAACTGTAAGGATTTGTTTAAGTTTGTCACTGTTTGTCAGACTACTTAAGTATATCTTGAAGTTCCAGTGTAGCTCTGGTATGTTTAAAAGGCTTGCTGAACAGAGATGAATGGAAGTATACACTTAACAGGTTTGGATATATATATTTCTTTTCTGGAATAGAGACTTATTCTGCAATTTAATGTAGATTTGCAGCAGTTCTCCTACAAAACGTCTGACAATGACGGCTGTTTAAGAGCTTTAGTTTTAAAATTACCAAGGAAAAATATGCAAATATTTTTTTAGAATGAGTCCTTTGAAATGTAGAACAAAGCACTGAAATACCCAGTGGCTTATACACTGCAGTGAATTTTTAAAATGTGCAAATGACTCTTACAGTGATACACTCAAGGAATACTTAACGAATACCTAAAGCTACTGGCACACCTTCATAGAAGTTAAGGCAGAGTTTCATACCTATGCAGAGCTGCTGCAAATGGATGATGTTTAAATAATTCATGTCCTTATACATGCAATGCATTGGTAAGCACGGGTCCTTTACTATCTACACTGATCTCAGCTGTGGTGTGAAGAAACAGCTGAGAATTTCTGGAAACCTGGAGGTGCAAAAGTATCATAAACCGAGAGTGCGGTTGTGCAGATTGTGACATGAGCTGAAAACAGTAGGCAGCTAATCCATTTACATGAAAAAAAAATCTAGGAAAAAAACAAAGGCATGATATACCTGTCCCAACAGCAATGAAGCAAGTTTGCAGTCAATCAATGCATACAAGAACGTTGTTAGTGGGCATAGTGGTGATGGTTCAATGGTTGGACTAGATGATCTTAGTGGTCTTTTCCAACTGTAATAACTCCATGATTCTATGGTCACCATCTGAATTAGCACACAGACATAGCAATCAGGGAACAAGGGTTCAGGTGGGCCAGCTGGGAGCAAGAGACAATACTATAAAGTTCCATGAGCTCAGCAGAACGTGGAGCTGGAACTGAGCAACAATTGAGTACTATGAAGAAGCAGTGCATCCATAGGTCAGCTAATAAGGTATCTGACTCTGAGCAAAAAAATCTTATGTTTGATATGTTGTGTATGGATTAAAACTCTGATTTGGCATCATGCTATCTCTAATTGTGTTTTTTGCTAGTCTGGACCAAATTTGCAGCATCTAGAGTGCAAATTCTGACTGAAGTATGCGAAATATACACTTTCACCCTTAAATGGATATCTACACTTGAATGTCTACATCGTGTTCTACAAATCTGAACAGGTGTGTATGTCAGGAATAAACCCTGTTCTTTTGTCTCTGTTATTTTATCTCTTCTCTCCTACAGGTTAAGGTGCATCATCCCTCTCCCCTCTTTTTTTAACAGCATAACCACAAAGAAGTTAGCAGTGGAAGTCCTCAACCTATCCAAGTCAAAGCCTTCTTGATTTTAAAAACTTAAATAAAGTGGGATAAAAAAACAAACAAACAACACAACAAAAACAAACAAACAAACAGCAACAGCAACAGAAAAAAACCTTCAAATTGAAGCTGTGAAGCACGTTTTACCTGGGAGCAGCTCAGAAATGCAGTAGTTCATCAGTAAAAGACCAGTTGTGGTTTGTGATGTTAGAAAATATATGTTCGATAGTATATGAATATGTAACATAAATTCATCTCAACTAGCCTTATGGATAAAGCATTTACCTTAATGTGTCTACAATGTGTGTGTGGGACTGAACATCAGATAAATGTGTGTGTCCTTAAATAAGACAGATAGCTACAGAGAGCGAGGAAATACTGCTGTCAGAGCCTGGCAGCCATGTAGCTGCTTACTGAGCTCACAGATCTGTTGACTGCAACAACCAGAGATTGACTACAATGAAAGCTCATCCAACAAGTTCACATAGGGACACCTAGGTTGTGGGCTTGGAATACTGAGTTGTCCTGATAGTGTACTGTAAAAATCTGCTTGAGTTGATTTACCAGTTTTAGACTCCTATGCTAGCAATAGTCAAATTATGTTTTAGAATTATGTCCCTCTGTTGGCTGAAAAAGAAACCTAGACTGTTGATATACAGGCAACAGTGCTGTAGTTATACGAAATATAGGGAGCTGAAAACTGTTCTTCTTGTCCTTCTGAAATGTGTTTTCTGACTGTAGTCTTCCTTCTCAAGGACCAGCACGGTGCTTGCTTTGCAATAATGCCATGCCAATAAATTTTAAATAATTAGCTGAATTTAATACCACAATATTTATATTTATTTCTAAGCATTTAACCTTAGAAACGTAGTTAGAATGAGACTAACACTTTTGGTGTGTAGGAGAATCTGTAAGTCTCATGAGGAGGCCACAGGAGCTTTCAAAGTCCAATGTGACATGTTGTTAGCCTGGGAGGTAAGCAACTCTGTCTCTGTAATTGTACATGGTTGGTCTCTGCTATTCAAAACCCTCATGTCTCCATATGTGATCCCAGAGTATTGGAAGTATGCAAGGCCCTTTGTACGTTTCAGGATTTTGCACATCACCATTTCAGAGCTTCAAAGTACGGTTGCTTTATGGCAACACATCTCAATGGAGCTGGGTAGGGCTCAGATGATATGAGTGTCTCTTTTCCTTTTGGTCAGTTTTCAAACTGAATTGGGAAAACCAGTTGCAGCTACAAATTGCAACTGTGTGAATTTCTACTCAATGACAAATGTTAGCAGGATTTAGCACTTCTTATTTAGGTACTTTACGTACCATTATCTACCTTTAAATGCATCATTACCAGAGAAGTTGAGTTCTGCACAAAACGCATTCATGTTGATGGAACAGTAATACAAAGGAAGACTGGCATCACAGAGAAAATGAGTCAGGTCTATGAAATCACTGGATAATAAAAAAGCACAATGTGTATAAATTGCAGGTGTTGTTGCAGAACTATTTCTGTCACTGATCTTTCTAATAAATTTGGAGGAAAAAATGGAGAATTAAATAGAATAATTAAGCCAATGGAATCTCAGTTTCAGGCTTCAATTTCTGGTTGCCAAAAACAAGAGCTGAGAAATGGATACAATCTTTCCTACCCCCAAGTAAAACCACATGTTAGCACCGTCTTTTCAAATACTCACTAACAGCCCTTTGCTGTACGATCAATACATTATAGCACTTTCCCTTTTCAAAGTGCAACATAAGTGCTAGGAATTCAATATAATGTTACATTGAACTTCAATAGGCTAAGGGTCGTATTTGTTTAAGGGAATACAACGAAGTCAGAAATTACAGTCATCTTATTTGTGTCACTGATTAGAACTACTTAAGTTTTCTTTTAAGGTTTAGTGCTACGCTCATCCGCATTGGTCCTGTCTGCTTGAACACAAGACCAACACCAGTCCTAAAAGACCTCGCTTCTTTTGCTCTCTCTGTGTGAGCCATCATTGGGTTTGCTTACTTTGTACCAGTACCATGATATAGACAGTCCCCATTACTTTGGAGAGGCAAAGGCTCATGTCAGTGATTTGCTTTGTATGGAATTTAATTCTTTGTATGGAATACATATTAACAGATTCAGAAAAATCTTTTGTTATTTTTTTTTTTCTTGGAGGCATAACCTTTCAGTACCAGAGGACTCATCTGTTCACTCCCATTGCACCTGCAACATAACCAGTAAAGGCTAGTGGAAGATATTACGGTTTTCAAAATGCATCTTGTGTACAGGTTTCCTGAGATAGTACCTCATACGTCAAGGAGAAAATGCAGCAGTAGTACATTTTGCCAATGGACAGCACATAAAGGCTGACTGGACCACGGCCAAACAGCCTTGGCACAAATGTCACAGGTATGCATTCTTAGATCAAGCTGCCTAGGCTTAAAAGCAGTCTGGAGCCAGAGGAAGATTTTATTTCTAGGCTCTGCAACAATGCCAACAAGAAATACGCTATTCCGGAACCAGAAACCATGAAGAAAATAATATTTTCAGGAAAATACAGCTTCTCTAGGGGAAAAAATGAATGTCAGCAACAAAGGTTCTGGAAGAAAAGCCAGATTCCTGTCCAAAGGATGTGAACTGGATCCGTCCTTTTCCTGTATCCAAAGAAGGACACCCAACAACAATCAGAGGGGATGAAAACGTGCATTTGTTGTTTGCTAAAGAAAATAGTTTCAAAGCAGCATTTTGTTCTGTTCAATTACAGTTTTCAAAATGTTTTCAGGAGACACTTCTCTGATCCTTGATAGAGTTAGTCCAAGGCTCCTCAGTGTCAGTAAAAATTAAGTGTCATGACAGTGAAAGATTGGTCTGGGAGCTGCAGTACCATCTGATTCCAGTCAAAGAGGAGGAATACAATGAAATTCCACACCTACCCATGTCAGAGACAAAGGCCTGATGCTTAAAGACACACACCCATTTGCTTTTCCAAATCGCACACTGCAATCTGACTGTACCTTACAAAACTATTGTGCCATATGGAATTAAAACAGCATATGGGTATTAGATCAAAACCTCAAGTTTACATTCAGTCCTCAACAGTATCTTTGCAATTCACGCGTACATGTTGGATATCTTCTGAATTATTTATAATGCCCATTTTCTAGATGACAAAATTACTACCTAAATTGTTCTTCAGAAACTTTTTGTTCTGCTATATATTTTACTCCAACACAACAAGATTAGAAACATACATGCCTTTTAACTTACAACAGTCTCTAGATAATCATCAGTATCATTTTGTCTTTGTATTTAAATCCCTATTAAAAATATATTGTATAAACTTATTAACAGTATAGGAAGCAGCACCCGTGTGCCATATATCTGTATGTTTCCACTCTTCTAGGTAATCCTGAAGACCCTGGCACAGGTTTTGCAGCCATGTATCAGTACTGCAATGCAACCAGCATATTCTTCAACAATCAGCATACAAACACATACAGAACCTTATTAACATTCTTTATAATGATGTTGTTTTGGACAAACAGGAGTGGATGCCTGTCTGCATTTCAGCATCCCAAAGAGACACATAAATGAAGCCTGCTCTGTAAGTTCTTATTTCTCAACAGGTAGATCCAGAGGGAAACAACAGAGGCAGGGACGGACTAGGTCCCATCATTTTATGATGCTGGAATTTCTTACGAGAGAAACTGTGTTACCACAATCTTCCTCAAATTGTGTTCTGGAGCATGCAACTTGGCAACGAGCAGTGACTGATATTACACTTGCATTATTTACAATTCCTTAAAAGGCTGGCTTAAATTATTCTTTTAGTTACTATGGCAATCTAGGAGACCTTTTCAGCCTCTAGCTTTTCTGAGTATGGAATAAACTGTTGCTTCAGAGAAATTTCAATATTGCTACAGGAGATAATTCATGATTTTTTTTTCATTAGTTTTAAAAAATCTTTCCTTTTAATACTTGCTTGGCTGGTAACACATTAGATTGCTGTCATCAGGAGTGGTAGCTTCAACCATGATAATTCTGGCACCAACTCTGCAGACAGCATGTGTTAAAGATGCTCAGACAACTTTCACCTTCCTGTGTAATGATGTAAATCTAGACGTGTTCCATATCAGACCATATAGGTACTCCTGATGAATAAAATATGAGGATAAAAGTTCATTTTTTTTAAATATTACAAGGTTACCATAAGGTTGTATTTTTTTGTTGTTGCTGTTGTTTTTTTTTTTAAACATGTTCATGCCTTTGTTGAAGAGCTTACACTGGAAGGAGCACTTGCAGATGCCTTTTTTTCTGTTGAGGCTTTTGACAGGTGCTTACAATTACTATGACTGAATAGTACTAAACATCAGTACATAGCGTGAAAATATTGCTCTATGAGTCAGTGCAACCTGAATACAAGTCATATATGTATATCCATCTAACGAGGCCTAAGAAGGTATTTTTGTCTCTCTGCTCTTCCACATGCCTGCTGTTCAGATATTTCAGTTTTTATTGAGTCTGCTGGAATTTTGTGATCCATCCACAAGTCTTCAGGGAAACCAGATTGATATCACCTCAACTGTGATTTCAATGCTAACAGATCTCTGTCACCAGGCTTGGATTTAATTATAGTCCAAGTTCAAAGGATTAGCTTGAAACTTGATTTATAATTGACTTTTTTTCTTATGTGAATGTCAGTGGATGTCAGTAGACAGACATGACTCTCAATGTTGATTAGAAACCATACTTTTAATTAAAATACATATCTTATAATTTTATTCTTCTGTTTTCCCCAAGTTTATAAAGGTAGAAACACTTAAGTATAGCAAAGATTTAGAAAGATTTTGCAATCAGATCATTTTTCTTTGTCCAATCTTCTGTATATACTGCACAGAAAATGTCACAATAACATAACATTAAGTTTGTGTACACAGTCATGTTGTAGTGGTAACCTCCACCTCAGTGTTTCAGTTAGGTGAACTTATTTCTCCAGCTTTTCAATCTACTTACTGTATAACAACATAATGTAAGTAAAATTCCTGTTGTCAAAACCCATGCTTTTTTTTTTCCGAAAGAAGCCATTGAAACAAAACATTTGGACTTTTTCACCACTTGATAACACATTCTTCAAAATACTTTTAAAGTGCTTCTTCAAGAGAATGCATGTGCAATGATTTTAAGTTACATGAACTGTTCACATCTTGATCTAAAGAAAATTGATGTTGATCTAAAGAAAACACTGAGGAAGTGAAGAAATATAATTAGAAAATGAATTCAGCTTTGTCTATATTCACATTTTGGCCTGGACTATTAAAGCAGTTTTGAATCAGATTCCCCAATCATTCACGCTTACTGCACATTGTTGCATAAAAGGAATGACTTTCATACACTCAACCTACATTTCTTCAGGTTCAGAGAAGCTGAACCTCAAACACTGTGCCAGGTGCTCCCCAAATGTGCTCCATCCCCAGGAGGGATCCAAAACCACAGTGATCTGACTGAACTGCAGTCAGTTTCTAACCACCTGTGTGCCAGAGACATTCGGTCCAGAATTAGATTAGACCAAAACTGAGTCAAAACTCCAGACTGCATTTATTGAATATGAAGGAGGCTTGACATCTAACAGTAGATCTATTGATCCTCTCCTAATACATCACAATACTGGCTGACACGCGCACAGCCTCAGTTTTCTGTGTGTATGTAGACCTGGTACAGCTGGGAGGGACATGTCTGCACGTTTTTGCAAACCATTATGCAAGCCCATGCACTGAGGCAGCAATTGCTGTGGCTGACTGAACCTTGCTGCGAGACGTGCTGATCACGGCACTAACGTTCCTGCATGGCTTCTGTGACGCTCCACACGCAGACCAGCTTGTGTGTGCCTACCAAAGCCATTCTCAGGGCACTGATCCCCACGTGCTGGTTGTGATTCTGCGTGAAGCTTCCTTACCAGCAGGAAGATGCTCTAAGGAGATAATCCAAACACACCGCTCCCAGATGTGGGGCCTGCTCCGGTGCCCCTCACAAGAATGTTCTAACGATGGCATGTGAAATTATACAATGCTATCAGATTTCAGCCAAATCAGGACCATAGGTCACGTACGACACAGAGAGGTCTGGAAAACAGATGCTCCTCATAGCTCTAGTTATCTAAATGGATGTGGCTGATTGCCTTTTTCATGTTCATAAGCCAGAAATCATGGGAAATCTTCAGAGAAGGGATTAAAGTAATCATGACTGCTGTGGGTCCACAAGGCCCAAAGATGTTTTGCAAACATACTTAAAAATGCAGCAGCTCTGAAGCTACAATGAATACTTGACACAGAGTCATTTTTGTCAATACACATCACGTT